TTCCATAATAACAGCCAGGTTTTGTGATGTCAGAGTCAAGGTGAATAAAGAGCAAACTCAGGATTTATTACTGCGTAAATCAGGAAGCATTAGGAAGCTCCACACCTGGGCACATGTCTACACTTGGGATTGGTAACCTCTCCCATATTTAGACCTGGTTCAGCTGAAGCCAGTGGGGTCTTGCTTGACTTCTGTTTTCATCTGGAAATCCAGATCAGAATGCTCATGTGTAAGTTTCCTTAGATCAACCTTGACTGGAAAGCATCTCCATTCTGATTGCTAAGCTGAAAAGAGTGTAGATGACTCACCTGTAGGAGTCAGTCTGTTAACAATTGTTGTTGAGATTCTCCTGACTGTACAGTACTATGATCAAGGCCAAGTGAATACCTTAATAAACTGACCTATGGGAACACTATTTTGCACCAAATACTGGAAGAAAGTTTTTTGTCCTGTCCTTTTACAATAGTATTCTTGCTCTGTTTTTACCCCATGACTCCCACATAACCACTGTTTGAATTTTGGCATGTTACCTTTCATATGCTAACTTTTACCTTTTGTTTAATTTTTTAACATTTTTTATTGATTTATAATACTTTTACAATGTTGGTGTCAAATTCCAGTGTAGAGCACAATTTTTCAGTTATACATGAACATATATATATTCATTGTCACATTTTTTTCTCTGTGAGCTACCATAAGATCTTGTATATATTTCCCTGTGCTTTACAGTATAATCTTGTTTATCTATTCTACAATTTTAAAATTCCGTCTATCCCTTCCGACCCTCCACCCCCTTGGCAACCACAAGTTTGTATTCTATGTCTATGAGTCTATTTCTGTTTTGTATTTATGCTGGTTTTGTTTTTGTTTTTTAGACTCCACATATGAGTGATCTCATATGGTATTTTTCTTTCTCTTTCTGGCTTACTTCACTTAGAATGACAAACTCCAGGTCCATCCATATTGCTGCAAATGGCGTTATGTTGTCGGTTTTTATGGCTGAATAGTATTCCATTGTATAAATATACCACATCTTTATCCAGTCATCTGTTGATGGACATTTAGGCTGTTTCCATGTCTTGGCTATTGTAAATAGTGCTGCTGTGAACATTGGGGTGCAGGTGTCTTTTTGAAGTAGGGTTCCTTCTGGATATATGCCCAGGAGTGGGATTCCTGGGTCATATGGTAAGTCTATTCCTAGTCTTTTGAGGAATCTCCACACTGTTTTCCATAGTGGCTGCACCAAACTGCATTCCCACCAGCAGTGTAGGAGGGTTCCCTTTTCTCCACAGCCTCTCCAGCATTTGTCATTTGTGGATTTTTGAATGACGGCCATTCTGGCTGGTGTGAGGTGATACCTCATTATAGTTTTGATTTGCATTTCTCTGATAATTAGTGATATTGAGCATTTTTTCATGTGCCTATTGGTCATTTGTATGTCTTCCTTGGAGAATTGCTTGTTTAGGTCTACTGCCCATTTTTGGATTGGGTTGTTTGTTTTTTTCTTATTAAGTCGTATGAGCTGCTTATATATTCTGGAGATCAAGCCCTTGTCAGTTTCATCTTTTGCAAACATTTTCTCCCATTCTGTAGGTTGTCGTTTTGTTTTGCTTATGGTTTCCTTTGCTGTGCAAAAGCTTGTAATTTTAATTAGGTCCCATTTGTTTATTCTTGCTTTTATTTCTATTGCTTGCGTAGACTGCCCTAGGAGAACATTTTTGAGATGTATGTGAGATAATGTTTTGCCTATGTTTTCATCTAGGAGGTTTTGAAATGTTCCATTTTTAAATATTAAATTTTACTATAGGGGTAAAAGTGTAATAATAGTTTTCCCCCTTTGTACATGTTTATCAGACAATGGTTGTTATAGCAACAGCTAGACAGGGTTGAGTTTGACAGATCTCTGATTGCAAATATATGTGAGAGCACTTCAGTTTGTTTATTTTTTTCTCATTTTAAAAATTTACTGCTCTACTTAGGAGTCATGTTATTAGCTTTTCACAGAAACTGTCTTTGCTCATCACAGCTCTCATTTTAACCATTTTGCAAGATAAATGAGTTATAAGTAGTTGTATCTGAATAGAATGTTCTTTTTTTATTACTTTGCTAGATAAATAAAACTTAAAATCTTCTCATTCTCTTATCTAAAACTTTTCTAGAAAATCTCATGTACTCTTAAAATTAAAAAAAATGAGTATAGAAATGCATCAGGTACATAAATTCTTTCAGAAAGTAAAAGCATATTTATGTTTCATAAATCTCTGATAACTACTTTACAGCAATTGATATAATTTGATACATATAGTATACTTCAAGTTTATTGTTACCAATTGTGTTCTTTTTACTTTTAGCAATGAAATTGTGCCCTACATAACATTCTTCCCTCTTCCTTCTGAAAGTGAAATTATTTATGAAACTGCGGCTGAGCAACAAGAAGAGAAGGAAAATGATGCCTTTCTTTCTCCAAGGGAGGAAATGGAGTGTAGTGAACTAGAGAGCTCTAGATGGGAGCAAGGAGATCTGGGTGCTGGTTCTAGCTGTGCTGTAAAATCAGTGTTTGTTAGATGAAAGGATCAATGAATATACAATCTATTTGGACCTCAGTTTCCCAATTATAAAGTTTAGAACCTAGGGTAGATTATTTTTGTGTCTCCTACTAGCCCTAAAATTTCCTTATTCCATGTAAGCAATGTCTCCCTTCCTACTGGAATCCTTTGCTGTGAAATAGTCATCTCAGGGATTGTTACACTGGAATGCATTTGGTATGTGTTAGTGTCACAATGCTTCACCTCTTGTTAATCTATCTCCCTCTTCTTGGAAACATTCCTTACCTAATTACACAGGAAGACAGTAATAGGGGTGGAGGTGGGGGGTCTTGGTTTTTATACTTTTTCTAATGAGAAATGTTTCCCTGAATTATTTTGGTCCAAATCTGAAATAGAAATGTTTTTATACCTGTCCCAATCTCAGTTCTTAATGTAATGGGCTACATGTCTATACATTAATTTATCTACAGAAAACATCGCTTTAATGTTTTAAAGCCACACCACACAATTAAATTCATGCTTGGTGGACATTTCCCATGCTCTGTTTATTTTGTGTGAAACATCTATCCCTATAAATAACCTACCCAGGAAAAACGTGCAAGGATACAGATCAAATTGAATGAGAAAGAGCTAGGCTGAGAAAAAGATGGAGAAAACATATGAGGATCCCACCTTATCTTGAATGAGGATTTCTGCTATGGATTTGTTATTTTGCTTTACATCAATTACTAGAATACCAGATAAAGGTACATTCAAATTTAACTGACTTAATGAATTATAATACAGACTCGTTAAAATTGTATCTATGAGAATTTGCAGTGACATGGCAAATTTATTTGTAATACAGTAACTGAGGAAACAGAAAAGAAATTTTGCACTATAGTTTGATCTCAACCAAAGGGAAATAAACACAGACGTATTAACTGTTGTTTTTGCCAGATGATGAAGTTATTTGATGACGATTTTTCTTTCTGTATTTTTGCTTTGAAAAACAAATAAAAATTTACATAATAGTTTTTGTTAAAAATTTAAAATACAAATTGTTGTGGGGTTTTAGTTTTTGGGTTTTTTTTTTTGTATTATTGCAAATTTGGATTTTCCCTTCCCTCTACCCATGAATCTGTAAGAGGAACAACTCAGATTCAACTTACCCCACATACCTGAGGCTGTAGCAGCAGGTCATGGCTCGGTTGTGAGGCTGAGAGTTCAGTAGCATCAGTAATGGGAGAGGAGGTCTTAAACATCATGCAGTCAGCAAATGCAGAAGGTCCCACACACACTTTTATTTATGTGCTGGGTACTAACTACACACTGGAGATCTTCAAAGAATAAGATAGATCTCAGAGTAAAAGGGGCTGATGATCTTTTTCAGGAGACAGGCAAAAAAATCTCAGGTCTAATGAAAAAGCTATATATTATAAAAGGTAATCACTACATATGGGTGGTGTGGGCAACTCTGGGGGAATCCAGAGGTGAAGCTTGAGTCTGTAGTTGGATGAGAGGGTGGAGGCGGAGTTGCATAGGGAACAGCGTGTACAAAAGTCCTTCAGCATGAAACTCAGTGGTGGTCCTGGGAATTATGATTATTTTAGTAAGGGGAGACGTGGAAAAGAGATCATGGGCAAATGTGGCAAGGAAAGTGTGAGGAGTAAATCATGGCTGTCTTTGAACGTCATGCTCAGTAGTTTGGCCCTTGTCCTCTGGATTAATGGCTTCTGACAGGAGGTTTTAAAGCTGTGGATTTACATCAGATTTGCAATTTAGAAAGATTACTCTGGTGGTGCTATGGGGCAGGGGTAGTGAAATGGGGGGCCCCAGAGGAAGCTGTTACAATGGTCTAAGCCTGAGGTGAAGCTGGCCTGAGCTGAGCCAGTGACAACGGAATGAAGTGGAGGGGGTGGACTTGTGAGATAGTGAAATTCAGACTTAGCAGACCCAGCAGTCTGTGAAGGGGAGGGGACACTAGGAGCAGCCCGGGATGCTGGTGCCCCATAGAGGTGTCACTGGAATAGGGATCCTAGGAGGAGATGATGGGAAATGATGAATTTTCAGTTTGGGATATAGTTTCTCTTCTTTCCTCCTTTCCTGTCTCTTTCTGCCTTTCCATCCCTTCCTCCTCTCCCTTCCTTCCTTCTTTCTTTCTCTTTCTCTCTTCCTTTCCTCTCTTTCTCTCCATTCATTCATTTAGTCCTGTAGTAAACTTTTATTAAGCCCTCACTGTATACCGTACTATCCCAGTCGCTGCCTTAGGTCCACTGTAAACCAAGCCAGCTTCCGCAAACACTCAGCCATGCAGGGAAAGAAGCCATTCCCCACAGCCACAGCTGCCAGGTGTTTCTGACCAGGACACACACAGTCAGGCCCAGGACACAAACTGCTTAATTCCTTTCAAATGACATTGCATAATAGGTTTTTTATCTATGGAAACATCACTAATGGCCGTTTTCTTTCTAGGTAGTGCCATTATTTCTGTTATGTTCCTGAAAGAAAATTTGAGAGCCTCAGATTTGCTAGGTAAGTGATTATTTGATTCATGTAATTATGGCACTGCTTGATCAGGAAATGAGTAACCCTACCGACGAAAAATATGTGCTTTAAAAATTGGGGCATAAATTACTGAAATGAATATATTCTCATTTAGAGGTGTACATTATTGTCTCTCGGAGCTGCCATCTGCTCTTTGACATGAGACACTTGCATCTTCATTGTATCTGCTGCCCATGCTACTGACCACAACAGAATTGTATTTTATATTATTACTATTATGAATGTTACAAAATTTTTATGAACATAATAAAATCTAAGAAAACATCTGTTACCTAACAGAGTATTCCACTTCAAAGGACATTTTTGTTAAGATTGTTGCATGAAAGCACTACATAAAAATGAAAACCATGTACAGAAATTAGATGCACCAATTAACTACCTAAATTGTATTTGGCTCTTTCCAAAAGTCACACAGAATGTTGACCTTCAAAATTTTATTTAGAAATACAGCTATTAATGGAAAATAACAGTGGCCTTCCTGGCTGTAAGAAAGATTTCTGTTACATGGCAAAGCTCTCATTTGTTGACTGCATCTTCTATCTCTTATTGGAAGTATCACTGGTGAGCAGAATTATGGAGATTCATATTTTCTTCCTTGGCAAAATCCGGTCTGAACTGCTGCTGACATATGATAATGAATATGATACTTCAGGCACTTTATATAAAGCAAAGTCTACTTGCTTCTAAGGAGATCTTTTTTTTTTTTTTCAATTTGAGCTTTAACTGTGACACTAGTCTTGGTATGCTGAAATTTGTTTCCCTGATCAGGTTTCCCTTGAGCCTAGTGTCTTGAAAGTGTTTTCACTTTTTCCTTTTCCTCCTTGGTTTGATTCTGCTAGTAGAGTTTTTAGTCACCATTGTCAAATTTTCATGGTTAAAATGTTTTCTAAAATGCATTCATATGTGAATTGTGGCTTTTCAAATATATTATTTTACTATACTTTTTGTATATTATGGTTTATGGAATCATTGGGGGAAGTTGTGTGGGATCAGATATAAGAATGAACAATGCCTCAGTTTTATAAATTAAAACAATTAGGTTCTACATTATGTTTCTAATTTATCAAATGTCTTAAGGAAACTTTAAATCATTTAATCTAACGTATGTCATCTTTTGTAGTTAATGGTTGATTAATGTTTAAATCAATGTAAGGTATTTAATGAGGTAATACAGATGGATATAAAGGAAGACTTGCCAGTTATCGTGAACCCTTGAGATTAAAAGATGATTAAGACAGAATCCTTGCCTTCAAATAATACAGTCAATGATAAAATACATGCATACTTAAGTTTTTTTCAAAAGCCAAAAATAATATGTATCATAATGCCTTGAGCCTTTAGTTTAGAACAGGGTTTCTCAGCCTTAGCACTGCTGACATTTTAGGCTGGGTAACCCTTCATTGTGGGGGCTGTCCCGTGCATTGTACAGTGGCAGCAGCCCTTCTGGTCTTTACCCATGGATGCCAGTAGCAACTTCTGCCCCGGTTATGACAACTAAAAATGACTTCAGACATTGTCAGATGTCCCCTGAGAGTCAAAATCACCTCCAGTTGAGAACCACTTATTTAGAATAAAGAGAGATTACTCTAGCCTGGAAGCCGAGAGAGAATTTTTTACAGCAGAGGTACCATTTGAATCAGTTCTGACAGCTGAATAGGACAAGCATGGGCCACATCCAGGCATTTGGAAAAGGGCGTACGGAAGGAATAACATGAGAACTGTTGACAGAGGTGCAGAAAGGTAAGGCGGTTTCCTGTGATACTGAGCTACAACCACTGCCAGTGAGGATTAGGGGGAAATTAGTGAAAGTCATAACTATGGAAAGGGAAGAAACAAAAGTATCAATACGTGCCACTGGTTTGATTATATACTTAGAAAACCAAGGTCAGCTAAGCATTACTAAAATCAATAAACTAGCCCAGCATCAGAGGATATAAATTAAAGTCACTCGCATGGGTTCAAATCTGGATTCAACTTCTCCTATTAACTGTGTGGCCAACATAATACTTAACTTCTCTAAGCTGCAGTTTGCTGACAAATGTAGAAGACTGTTTTAAGGGTTAGATCGCATAACTGATATGAGCACTTTGAGAAATGTAAAGCCCTGTTAGTATAACTGCTGTCGTTTCTGTACAACTTCATTCCCAAGAGGTAATAAATACTAAAACCGCAGCATAAGAAATAGGAAACACACACATACACACATAACAACAACAACAAAAACCTCTATTAATTATTTGATTCTTTGCTAATTTCCCTTTAATACGAGCCCACATTTGTTAAATATTTACTCTATCCGGGTACTGTTAAGTGTTTTACATGAACTGTCTCGTTCGAATTATAGGAACGATCCGTTCATAGAACTGACTTGCCCAAGGTCACATAACTAGCAAAATTATGGACCACTATTCTAATAATGGCAGCTTGATATAACCATCAAGTGATGGGTGAGGGTGAGTCTCTAGCATCAGAGAGCTGTGTGACCTTGGTAAAATGACTTCAT